TCCCCTGGCCGTTTGGGGATGCCTAAGATGGGAAAAGCAGGGCCTTCTGGCTCGAGGCACTTTGGTCTCACAGTCCCCCGTAAAGAAGAGAAGGGTGGTACAGCCTTGTCTACAGACAGGTCTTTTCCATCTGCGCTCCTTGCCAGATGCTCTTTGTGATGTTGTTTCTCCTGGTCTGACACAGTGAAAACTGAGACCGGTGAGCTCATGGCCAGGCCTGTGATTCCAGTTAATTAGGAGGCTGAAGCAGGGAAATGCTGGTTCATGGTCAGCTTGGGCAATTTATTGAGACCCTGTCTCAAAATAAGTGAAAATGGGGCTGGGGATACAGCTCAAGGGTAGCTGCTTGCCTAGCACGTGCAGGGCCCGGGTTCAATCCTCAGTACCACACATTTTTAAAAAGAACAAATGGAGGAGACATTTCCTGGGTTCCTGCAAGTGTTGCCCCCGTGCTTGACAGAGACCTGAGTCCAAGGGTAAACTACTGGAGTCTGCCCTTTCCCCTGGTCAAGGGACTCGCTAGGTTTTGTCTCTAGCCCGGAGCCTGTAAGCTAGCCCAGAGGGGAGTCAGCCCTGTATGTGATCCTGGGACTCTCTGGCCTCCTCAGGCCACAGAGGGAAAAACCAGTCTGTGTGAGAGTATTTGCTGAAAAACCGAAATGCTCCTGCAAGCCAAGTCCATGTTCTGTCTGGGGAGTGGTGAGTTCCTGGGTTGGCTCCAGGGGCCAGCGGCCTGCTTGGTACTTGTTGAGAGGTCGGCTGTGTGCCAGCCTCATCCGTTCATCTACTCTGTCACTTGAGAGGACCCCGTTGTGTCACACCCTGCCCATGGGCTCCATCTTGAGCAGCTGGACTCGCTGGAGGGGTCCGTGCTTCAGACGCACACAGGACTGCCTGCAGGCACAGAGGTCAGGGAGCCCAGGTGGGTTTTACCAGACCAAGTGCTGGGATTCCAAGGGCCATGTCACGATGGGGTTCCGGGGATCCCTTTCTTGCTTTTCTGTTTTCGTACCTTCAGTCCCTGGCTGAAGTGTGGTGCCTCTCCCCACTTCCCAATCTCTGCTCACCCCTGCGTCACCTTGTGTCTTAGGTGGACACCTACGAGAGGATGAAGGTTCTCCTTGATAATCTGGGTTGTCTCCCCATCCCAAGGTCCTTCATGAGCTCCAAGGGTCCCATTCTAGCGTGTGCCATTGAAACAGAGCACTGGAGACCTGGTTGTTCATTCATTTGTTCATTTATGTATTCATTCATGGTGTGTGTGTGCACGCACATGTTTGTTGTTTGTGTGTGCACGTGCACACGTGGAGGCCAGAGGACAACCTCAAAGTGCACACCACCTTTTTGTTTTGAAACTGGGTCTTTCACTGACCTGGAACTCAATGAGTAGGCTAGCCTGGCTGGCTAGTGAACCCCAGGAATCTGCCTGTCTCCCCTCCCCAGTTCTAAGATTGCGAGTGTGTGTCACCATGCTTGGCCTTTTTATTGTTTTTATGTTTGTGTTCTGGGGATCAAACTCTGGTCCTTGTGTTTGCATGAGAAGCACTTTACCAATCGAGTTATCTCTTCAGCCCTAAGACTTGGTGATTTATAAGGCTCAGAAATTTATTGATTGATGACTCCGGAAGCTGGGAAGTCCAAGATTGAGGGACTGGTAGTGTTCCCGGGCCTTCTTGCTTCATCATTCCATGTGGAAGGGTAGAGAAAGGGAAGAGAAACCAAGAGAAAAGGGGCCAAACTTGCACTTCAGCATCACCCCGCACTGAGAACAGAGCCCTCTGAGGCTACTGGCCTCTGCCCCAGCATGGTGATGCTGGGGAATAATAAGTTTCCAGCATGAACTTTGAGGGTACATTCAAACCATAGCACAGGGATCAGGAGCTGGCCGCCTTTGAGGGATACTGCTCAGCCAATCTGCCTTGGGCCAGTCATTTACATATAGGAGCCTCAGTTTCCCCGCTTATAAAATGCATCTAGGAACAGTGCCTTCTCTGTCCCAAGCACACAGACATTAAGCTGCCCCCAGTGTGGAGGTGGCCGAGGCTCCCAGGCTGCTGTTACTGTGTGAAGCCTGGGTTGGTCAGGCTGCTTCCCGTTGCTGACACATTCTGAGGTGAACAACTGAAGGGAGGAAGGTTTATTTTGGCTTCTGGTTTCAGGGGTTTCAACACAGCCATTGCTGTGGCAGAACATGGCAGTGGTGAGGAAGTAGTGAGGTGGAGCTGCTCACCTCCTGACAGAAGTTGCGGCAGAGAGGAAGGGGCCCGAGGCAAGATACCCCTTCAGAGGGACCCCCAGTACCCACTTCCCCTAACCAGGCCCCACCTCCTTCGAGTCCATTCAGCTATGAATCCATCTGTGGGTTAACCCACTGAAGCTGATGCCTTCATGATCCAGTCACTACCAGCTGGTGACCATGATTTCAACACAAACCTTTTAGGGAGACACTGATAGTCAAACCTTAACAGCGCAGTGGCCCCAGACTCCAGGAATTCTGCTCACAAATGGGTCCTCTGTGCCCATGGCTTCCACTGAGGCCGAGAGCAGGGAACATATGAGCAGCTTCTGGGCCCCACCTCTGAAAATGTCACTGCTGGGTTGGGTGGGACATGGAGAACTGCACAGGCTTCCGTGGTGCTAAGCTGCTGCCATAGCTGGCTCTCAGTTTCATGCCTGGCTGGGGTCATTGTGAGAGGCTGCTGTTTCTCTCCCTGCGTGGCCCCTCCTGGGCTCCTAGGCCCTAGGCATCCTGCTGGCCCACATCAAAGCATTGTTTCTTTGGGCCTTTATCTTGGGCCAAGGAAAGTGTGACATCATGGTCTTCCAGCTTCTGCGTGGAAGATACAGCACTGGGTAAGAGGGCTTGTCATGCCCATGTGGACCTGCCCATGGTTTCTTGAAGACCCCGCCAAGAACATGAGCATGAGGCTGGCACCCCATTTCATATATGAGACTGAGGATCACTTCTTGGTCACTGTGTGGCTGAGCAGGCCTCAAACCAGGCCCTGCTGGCTCACCTTTGTCTTTCGGCTGCTCTGTTCTCCTGGTTGAAGAGGAGGGTAGCTAGTGGTCAAGAGCTCCGTGGTGCAGTCTCAGTTCATCCTGTGGAAAGAGCCTCAGGGAGACTCCCAAGCATGGAGAAATCGCAGACATCTGACTCAGTAATTTTGCTGTGGGTTCTGAAATATACCTCATTGTCTCATGGGAATGTGCACGTGGGGGAGGGGTGGGGCCATGAATGTCTCCAAACTGGGACACACTTTATTCCCCTTGAGATAGGAAAGAGCTCAGGCTTGATTATTTGCTATGTCTGCAAGCTCCTGATGTTCAGAACAAGGCTGGGTTGTTTTAGACCCTGTCTGGGACCCAGATTGTAGCCAGGGATTTGAAGGGGGCAGGTGGAGAAGACAGAGCCTGAGTGCTGGGGAAAGGCTGGGGTAATTGCAAGGAAAGCAGGGGTAACCATCCACAAGGGAGGTGAGTCAAACCTGCACCCCTTAACATGAGCCCTGTGGCCACCCGAGTAAAGTGCACAAAGTAGGGGTTCTTAGAACCCCAGAAGCACGTTCTCATGTTTTTAGAGGTCAAGTCTGAAGTCAAGGTGTCTATGATCCATGTCCCCTGTGGGTCTTCTTGCATTTCCAGGGTTCCTGCCATCTCAGGGGTTGCATGGCTGGAGATGCATTATGTGTGTCCTGTCTGCACATGGTGCCCTATCCAAGGTGCCCTATCCAGTGTGTGCTCTGCCACGTTTTCCTTTTTGAGACACCAGTCAGATTTGGCGAATGGCCACACTAATGACCACTGAACACTGGTCACGTGTGCAAAGGCTCATTTCCAGTGAGGTCCCAGTCACACTGGGGTTGACTTCACCATAAATTGAGTGGAGGGGGCACAACCCACTGACCTCCCTGGGCCAGCTGTTTGCCTCCGTTGCCATCAGACCCTCGCCAGTGCAGCACCCTATGGAGGCCTTGGGCTTCCCAGGCAGTCTGGCTCCATGCTGTCTGCCCCTGCGTCAGGCACACACTCCCTGCATGTCAGTTTAGACTGGGCGACAGTGCCTAGGCTGAGTCGGGTAGGAGCTGGGAAAGGGAAGAGTGGGTGGAGCCAGGACTCATTCCTGGCTGGTTGCTAGGGATGGGGGAGGTAGAAGCCAGTAGTGGCTGTGTGGAGACTGGTGTTCCTGGGGCCTGGGCTGCTGGCCCTCAGTCCCTGGCGCTGGTCCAGAGAACCTGAGCTTCTTGAGCTTCTCCGTCTCACTCTTCCCACCCCACCACAGGCTTTTGCCCTCCTCTCGCCACCCCCCCCAACAGCAAGTGGGTACCTCAAGGTCCAGATGCAGTGGCATCTTATGTCCAGTCACTATGACTTGTACATCTGCAGGCAGGTCAGAGTTCACCATCACTGTTGTGGCTTTGTAAGCGTCCCTGTGTGCCTGCTCTGTGCTGGGCAGTCTAGTGTGTAGCATGCAGGCCCAGGACCCACACCTGACCTCCGTCTTCAGGATACCATAGAAGGCAGAGGGGACAGGACTGTGGACTCTGTTTTTCCTGCTTACTGGGTCCCCAGCCCAAGGCAGCCTGGGTTTGAGTGGCAGTGTCTCTGTGCTGACTCCAGGGCTCAGAGACGTCTATGGAGTAGACGCTTCATAGGTGACGGGTGACAGGTGTGTGAGTGGGAGCTCCTCGAGTACTGTTCAGTCTACTTCTCTGTCATGGTCCTGAGCTGCCTGGGAGCCATGTGGCCACTACTGAGGTTTTGCTGTGTCTGTACCCAGAGCTTTTCTTGCCGCCTGGAATACTAGAAACAACCAGTTTCAAGGGAAGGTGACATGGCCATGGTAAGAAGTTGAAGTCACAGAAAACGTATAGTGAAAAGTGAGTCTCCCGAGCCCTTGTGCTCACGCACTCTGTGTTGGTGCACATGCCCTGTGTCTGCTTGCACCTCTCTCCCAGCCCTCTTCCCAGCTCCCTCACGGTACCCACCTCTGCCCGCAGGTCTCTGTACTGGTCCTCTTCGCCCTGGCCTTCCTCACCTGTGTCGTCTTCCTGGTTGTGTACAAGGTGTACAAGTATGACCGTGCCTGCCCCGATGGGTTCGTCTTGAAGGTAAGACCCTGTCTCCCATTTGAGCCCTGGGGCCACCTTTTCATCTCCAACACTAGGGCCCTAGGGGAGCTGGGCCTTGGCTCTGCACCTATGGCAGTGGGGTCCTCCCTGAAGGCCCTGCCCGGGGAGCTGGGCAGACAGGCCAAGGGCATGATGGGGCCAGTGGGAAGGAAAGCCCTGGCTTGGTCTCTGGGAACTGACCTGAGTCTTGGGAATAGTCCCCTGGGGCAGGAAGAGCCAGGCTGACACCTGGCTTTAGGGGAAGGGAAAGCAGAGCCCAAGAGAGGGAAGGCTACCCTAAGCCACACTCGCCGGCTCTCTGGCCTGCAGCTGACCGCTCTTGGGCTTTCCTGTGGTTTTCGAGCTCTGCTGTCCGCTGGGCCTTCTGCACACACAGAGATGCTCACTTGGCTCCTAGACCTCCTTCCAAAGAGCCCACCAGTGTCACAGATGTGTATCCACTGGGCAGAGGACTGCGGAAGCAAAGCTAGAGGGAGGGAAAATGGGGTGGAGGGAGAAGATGGAGTTGGGTGGAGGTGTGACCTTGCTGCAGGCTCACGTGCAATTAATGTCTGCTTCTAAACTTTCCAGAGCAGGTGGGAAATGGTCCTGTGCAGGCTTTGGTGCTGCTGAAATGCGAACAAAGCTGACGCTGAGCATGTATATAAGCCTGCATGGCTGGTGGGCCTTCACTGGGTGGTGGGTCTCAGTCTTGACAAAGTGAGGAGGGGCGCCCTCATGTAGCAAGTTAGAAGAAGGAAGAGTTCACTGCCCCAGCCAGGACACCTTCCTCCTCACACCACAGGGTCCCTCGTGGTTTTCAGTGCTTCCCCGAGTGCGGCCCTTGAAGCACGAGGCAGGTGAGCATAGAGGAGGACTCAACATGGGGCTTGGCGGCCTTTTTAGAAGCTGCTCCACTCTGGGGAAGCCTCAAGCATGGAGCCAGCCAGCCCTGGTTGGGGTACAGGAGCAGTGAAGAGGGTAGCAGTGGGGTGTGCTTGGAACAGTTTTGGGTGCAGTGGGAGAGGGGTCCGCTCACAGCCAGACTGCACGGCACCCCGAGTGTCTGGTGAAGGCCTGGCAGGGAGGAGCTGACTGAGGAGGCTGCTGCCCTGAGCCAGGGAAGAGGATGGCAGGCGTGATAGGGACCAAGAGGCGAGTAGTGTGGCAGAGGACGGACAGGAAGACTGAATTAGTTGGGGGTCAGGAGGGATGAATGGGGAAGACCTGGCCCAGAGCTGAGTGACTCAGAGGCTGATGTCATGGGGAGGAGCAGTGTCTGCGTGGGAATCGGGATGAGAAGGCCCCAGCTTTCCACCCCAGCTATTGCTCACAAGTAACAGGCCAGCACCCCACCCAGTGCCAAGCTGTCCTGGGTTTCCTGCCATGGTCTCTAGTCTGGGGCAGGTTTCCTGCCTAGTGAGGGGAGGACTAAAACTGCTGGCTCCCTCCAGCAAGCTCAAGTCCTGTGGAGAGGCTGACTTAGGAGGGTGATGGGAAGATAGGCTCTGATCCTAGGATGACTTCAGATCTGATTCTTAGCAGCCTGGGAGGGGCTGTGGAATCTGGGTGTGTAAAAGGTGATTCTAGCCCACAGCCCCCTTGGGAATTCAGAGCCCCATAGGCAGTTTCAGAGCTTTGTGGCTGTGGGCATGGACATTTTCCACCTCTGTCTAATGGGGATGGGGTGGGTGGTCCTTTTTGGAGGACATAGCTGGTATGTTCACTGAGAGCTCCATGGCCCTCTGTTCATGGCTGTGTGGGGGGAAAGGGGAGGCCCTTCCTCCTGCCTTGTACTCACGCATGTGTTCACTACACATCCACCTGGGATGGACAGCTGGCTGTGTGGACTTTGAGCCAAGCTCCCCCTGGATGTGCCCAGAGACCCTAAGGGTAGACACCATCACCTCTCTTCACCAGTGGGTTCACAGTGGCTCTTTGTACCGAGTCCCGGGAACACAGCTGCACAGGATACAGGGTAGCGGGTATCCCAGAGAGCAGGCCCTGTCGTCTGCTGAGCAGCCCTCCTGCCAGCCATGGCCAAGTGGCTCAAGCTGAGGGGGGTGTGGAGACAGTTAAAAAGCATACAGGGCCAAGGTCGTGAGGTGTGCCTACAACCCCAGCACTCAGGAGACGGAGGCACGAGAATTGTGCAGTCCAAAGCCAGCCTGGGTGATCATGGGCTATACGCACGGCCCTGGCTGTGTATGTGCTTCTCCCAAGATTCCCCCATAGGTGACAGATCTTTGTATTGAATTTCCTTTCCCAAGGGGCAGAGATGGGGCTGAGCCTCCCTCCCACATGGGGAAGGCCTTGTGCCCTCAGCTCCTCGTGGGAAACCCTTGATAGCCCTTCTGGTCTCTTGCCAGCCACAGCCCCTCACAGGGTCCCCCAGCTTGTCTTCTTGAGACTATGTTGTGTGGGACATGTCAGACAACACTTGATGTCCTCCCTCAGCCAGGCGCCTGGAGGGCAGGGCTGTTTCCCAATGGGCTGTGGATGCTCCCGCCGCCGTTCTGAAGGTCTTGCCTGCCTGTGACGCTCTAGCAGGGTGTTGTGCTGCTTACCCGAAGGACAGGAGAGAAGAGAGTAACTTTAACCTTCCTCCTACCTTCCCCAAGGGCTGGAGAGGGGTAGGTCGTCAGGACAGAGGGAGGGAGGCGGCTGTGTATGCTGGGGGGAGCTTGTGGTGCCCCAGCTGGCATGGGTGGCCCATGCTGAGTCACTGCAGTGTTTTCTTCCAGGATGGACCCCTTTACTGTCATGTCCCTCACCAGTGGTTATGCTGCCGGAGGATACCCACTGCTCACCTAGTTCCTGCTTGGTCCCTGGCACCTCTCCTCATCCTCCTAGATCCTACACTGGTGACCTGTAGTTCTGCATGCTGGGAGCACCACCAGGCTCCTTGGCATCCCACCTACCTCCTGCAGAGGCTGGAGCTTGGCCTTTGAACCACCCACAGGGTCGATTTAATCAGTGCCTTGGGGCTTAGGCTGTATCACGTGGTTGGAGACCGGCAGAAGCCAGCCCACCTGCTGACCCCTCCCTGTCCAACACACACAGTGGGCCAGTGTGTAGGAGTGATTTTGATGGAAAGGGGCTCACTCTGAAAGAACAGGACTCCTGGGCACATAAAGCCCAGATCTGTCCAGATGGCTGCTTTCCATGCCTGCAGCCTCCTCCGGCCCCTCCAGACCCTCACGCTCAGCCCCAAGCAGCAGTGAGGTAACGTGATGTGAGTCTGGATTTAGAGGGTGACAATACCTCCAGTGCCAGGGGCCCTGGCCGGGTAAGAAGCACTCTGTAGACAGCACCCCACACCCTGATTCCATTCATACTGTGTGTGGACGTTTGGAGGCCAGAGGTTGGTGTCAGGTATCTTCAGGCCCCTCCACCTTGTTTTTGAGGCAGGGTCTCCACTCAACCTGCAGCTCAGGGATTCCGCTAGACAGGCTGACTAGTGAGCTCCAGGGATCTGCCTGCATCTGCCTCTCCAGCACTGGGATTACAGGCATAAGCTATAACCTCTGGCTTTTTACATGGGTGTAGGGATCTGAACTCCTTACACTTCTGCGTCAAGCACTTAAGCCATCTCCCCAGAGCCCCTCATGTTCACTGGGCAGGTCTCAGCCACTCTGAACTTTGTAAATAAGCACTTTGAGGGCCATGAGGGGGACAGCAAACAGCAGCACTGCCAAGGAGCAGGCTGGGTTCCATTCTTGAGACCCATGTGTGCCAAGGCAGGGACTGGACTGAAGAGATGCCAGTGGTGGGTTCTGAAAAGGAACAGATCTGACCCGTTGTCCCTGGGTAGAGCTGATCGCAAGGCCTGCGGTTCCCACTCTTTTTGACTTTGAGTCCCAAGTGTCTGGAGGAGTGACCCTGTGTGGGGTGGTGAGGCCACTTACAGGAGGGTCCTGCTGGAGCTGAGGTTCTTGCCTGCTTGTGTGACATTGGGAGCCTCTTGACCTCTCTGGGCTCCACTTCTCCACGTACCTCACAGTAAGAGGGACCGGCCTGAAAAGCACTCTACAAACCTGGGTGCAGGCAGAGTGTCAAAAGGAAGCATCTACAAGTGGGCGCACGCTGCAGCTCCTCCTCTGCGGTGGGCTGGTCAGGGCTTCTTCAGCAAGATGGTCTTGGCCGAGGTGTTGGAGTTGGGTTGGAGCCTGACCCTTAGACTTCTCGGGAGATGCTTGAATACAGATGGCCGCACTGATCTACCGAGCTCCTCGGGTTGAGAGCCAGATACATGGTTCTAAAACTCGCCCAGAAGAGACCTTGGTCTCCATCCCTGACTTGTCTGTGGGGTCTCACGCTCTTATCCAGTTAGGAGACTGGCACTACTAGCATGATGCTTTGATTGGTTAACACTTGAGTAACTGTGACTTCAACAGGGTGGGAGGCTTACTGCTGTGTCTCAGAATCCAATTGGGATTTTAGAAGGCAGCTCAGGGTCTAGAGTCACCCTGGAGCCCTGGTTTCCAGTCTCGGCCTGTGGCTCTAGGGGTTTTGTCTTCTGGGCGGTTGGAGCTGGCTGAGGAGGAGAAATGTGGAGGGTGGTGGGGCCACTGCTGTGCTTTGGGGGCTGGTTCAAAAGCTGCTCATTACAGCCATTCGGATTTTGTTGGCTCCAAGTCAGTCACATGGTCTTGCCTGGCTACAAGGCTGGAAATGCAGTTGTTGGCTACAATGCCAGCTGTGAGACCCAGTGGTTTTGAGAGGCTGGTGTGAGGGGCGTACACTGTGTGAACATGCTGACTGCTGTGTCCCATTAGACCTCACCCCCAACATCAGCTGCTCCCATGGCACTGGTAGCTCCTGTAATTGCAGAGCTCCAGCTCACACTTGTGCCTGGAAGACAGCAGCTGTGGACACTCACCCTCCAGCATGCACACATAGAACAGAAGAGCTTCTGGCCATGGGCATGTGGCCTGTAGGAGCAGTTCCTGGTTGTTCTCTGGATCATAAGGCCTACTCACACCTCTTTGTACCTGCAAGGCTGTGTGTGGCCTGGCCCTTCGTGCCCTTCCTTGTTCTTGAACCAGCCCCTTTAACTTCCTATGTCCTATGCCAAGGTGTGCCTGCTTGTGCCATTCCCTGGCCCTGAGCTCTCTGCCCAGCACCCAGGCCTGAGGAAAGCCTTTCTTTTGCCACAAAATATTTTCATTTATTCATGTAGTGTACGTGCTCCTATCTGCATGTAGGCATGAGTGTATTATGGTGCACGTGTGTAAGGTCAGAGGGTACCTTGCAGGAGTTTGTTCTCTACTATTTGGGCCCTAGGGATAGAACTTGGGTTGACAGGCTTGACAGCAAGTGCCTTTACCCACAGAGCCACCTTGTCAGCCCCCAAGGAGTCTCCAGTGCTCCCTTATTTCAAGTGGTTTGTGGACACATCAGAAGTGTCCGTGTTTTCTAGTAGATGAAAAGCCAGTGACGGCTAGCCAGTTAGAGACCACTGGTGAAGGCGGGCACACTGCCGGTTACATATGGGGAGTCGACAGCTGCTCTGCTGAGGTCCCCACCGGTCTTCCACACAGCTGTGCCCTCTAAGGCAGGCCCTGTGCCTCTGTCCACTGTGAGGGTGCAAATTCTGTGGGCCCAGGAGCCATCTTGGAGATGTCCATTGCAGACACACACCGGCATGCCCTGCACTCACAGTCTCCATGGCTTTTTGTCTTGTAGAACACCCAGTGCATTCCAGAAGGCTTGGAGAGCTACTACACAGAGCAAGATCCCAGTGCCCGGGAGAAATTCTACACGGTCATAAACCACTACAACCTGGCCAAGCAGAGCATCACCCGCTCTGTGTCACCCTGGATGTCAGTTCTGTCAGAAGAGAAGCTGTCAGAACAGGAGACGGAGGCTGCTGAGAAGTCAGCTTAGCGAGCTGGGAAGGTTCTTTACAATGTGTCACTTGAAGGTAATGAAGGGACTTTGAGGGACATTTCATTAAATATAATTACCGATACTTTAGAGGTTACTCATTTATGGTGCAGTCGCTTCTGTTTGCTAATGCTGCTTTGCAAATAAAACTTGCTGCCGATCACCCACGGGCATAAGACCAAGTGCGTATCAGCATTGCGTAGAGAGCGTGACACCGCTCTCCATGCTAAGGACTCTTCACTGGGATCAATTGGATGCTGTCAAAAAAGAGATCTACACTGGAGATGCCAGGGGTCTGGACATCAGGCCAGAGCATCGTGTGGGATTTTTTAGGCACCCTGCTATCTGCAAACCTGACTCCATAGCCATATCTAGAGTGGTCTCTGGCTTTGCCAGTTTGAGTGCCGATTGCCAAGGTGCACTGTTGAGTGGTAGAGGGGAGACAAGTGCGCACCAGGACACAGCCCCTTCACCCCGCCTGTGTGACTCGTGAGTCGGATCTCTGAGGCAGAGAAGGGCAGGTTCTCTCCGTGTGTACACTGAGCAGAGCACAAGAAGGGGTGGGGGGGGGACGGCTCTGGGCCAGGGGCTGCAGAGCCCGCCCTCCTGGGGGTGGGCTGTCTGCTGGTGTGCTCTATAGGAAACAGCCCCTTTCCCGCCTGTCAGGAACATGTTTGCACGTAGAGCCCTGGATGCAGTTCCTTTTCATTTCTTCATGTTCTTAGCTGGGTGGGCAAAGTGAAATGTAATTGCTGGCAAGCCAGGGCTATTTTAACTGTTATTCTGTGAACAGATGTGACTCCTGTGATGTGGGGAGTGGGCAGGATGGCTGGTAGGGGGGCTGGTGTGGCACCTTGAAAATAGAATGTCTCAGTCCACAATCTTTGTAAGAAAAGTATGTTTCAATCTGAATCTTGACACTAAAATGACGGCTCTGGGCCAGGGGCTGCAGAGCCCGCCCTCCTGGGGGTGGGCTGTCTGCTGGTGTGCTCTATAGGAAACAGCCCCTTTCCCGCCTGTCAGGAACATGTTTGCACGTAGAGCCCTGGATGCAGTTCCTTTTCATTTCTTCATGTTCTTAGCTGGGTGGGCAAAGTGAAATGTAATTGCTGGCAAGCCAGGGCTATTTTAACTGTTATTCTGTGAACAGATGTGACTCCTGTGATGTGGGGAGTGGGCAGGATGGCTGGTAGGGGGGCTGGTGTGGCACCTTGAAAATAGAATGTCTCAGTCCACAATCTTTGTAAGAAAAGTATGTTTCAATCTGAATCTTGACACTAAAATATATTGGTTTACAGTTACCAATTAGATAAGCAAGTGTGTACGATGATTAAATAGAGAAAAACGATTCGGTTGTCTGTTCCCTGCTCTGTGTTGTTTCTGGTGGACGTGTCGGAAGTCTCACGTTTTCAGTAGATCAGAAGTAGATGGCAAATTGTGTGATGTCTGTTGCCAATAAGCAGGGTGACCAGGGTCCGCCCACTGCTGTTCCCCGAGATGTGTTTCCAAGACATAAACTCTATTATCAAGGGTTCTTGGAAAGAAAGTCTGTGAGCTCAGCACAATGGGTGGCGTTACGTGGGCATGTGCTGTGAGGGCACTGAGAAGCCGTGAGGGACGCACAGAGCAATAAACGTGTGCCAAAACCTGTCATGCATTTGATTCCGACCACGGAGCCATGTGTGCACAGCATGGCCAGCCCCGTTTGTGTTCTAGTAGACATGTACTTTACTGACTGTAAATTCATTCCCATGTAACTTCTCACGTTCAGTCTTCAAATAAAGAACTTGAGGGAACCTGAGCTGCACACTGGACTGTCTGTACACACGCCTTTCACCAGGAATCCTGTGAACCGGCCCACGCCCACTGGACACCAGGATGCTGTGCATAGATTTGGGTCATGCACACTTCCAGCTCTTAATAGGCAATTCCCAGGCCTCTTCCCAGAGGGCAAGTGGGCAGTACAAGGGAGGTAGGCCCTTTCTTCTGAGAACTACGCCCTTCTTTGAACACAGGCTTCTGGGAGGCAGTGGCAGGAAACCAGGCTCACATGCCCATCGGCCTGCCATTCACATGCTGGGAGTCAGGGCTGTAGTGAGGCCTGGCGGAGGCTGCCAGAGTCTGCCCACTAGCCACATGGTGGCCAGGGCTTCTCAAAGGAGACTGATAAAGGGCATAACTGCGTTTATTAGCTTGACAAGGCAAATGTGAATTTTGTCTCCTGTAACAGTGCCATGTATCATTGACTCAGGCACACATTAGAAGCTACAACAGGAACCAGCGACTTGAGAAACATCAGGCATGTTCTTCCCTGAAGCTTCTGGGGTGGGAAAGGCAACTTGAGGCCCGAGCATTGCAGGGTGGGTGGGGCAGGAGGTACGCTGTGCCTATGCTGTTCAGCTCCTGCCATGCTGGTGGCTCCTGGCTGAGGCACAGCTCCTGACCACCTCACCCCTGCATCCTCTGCCCCGGGGGAACACCAGGGCTACTTTCAAACTGTGGACTTTCATGTCCTTGTGGCTCCAAATGGTGGCCTGGGAGCCCTTTGAGCTCATTCTCTTCCAAGCCCCTTGCCTTCACACAGCTCCCTGACAAACCAGCCACAGCACTCTGGTACCAGAGACGTGCTGGCACCTGGTGTATCAGGCGCCGGGGCAGACTGCATGCTGTGGCACGGGGCGGGCTAGCTGTCATACCAGTCGAGGAAGAGCAAGGAGAAGGAGCACATGACCAGGAAGAAGAGGATCCACACCCGGAAACCGGCGTTGTTCTTGATGGCCTGGTGGGCAGGAGCACAGGGTTAGTATCACATGGGGCTGGGTTTCAGGACCCAAATGCCCCACTCTTCCCACCTACCCCTCCTGGGGTAACAGCCTAAATCCTGTGATCAGCATGGATAGATGACTTAATTAGGAAGGAGACACAGTGGGTGGAGACCCCACAGAGGACAGATGCCTTGCATGTATTCTTAAGGTTTGTTTATTTATTTATTTACTTATTTATTTTTTTGAGACAGGGTCTTACTATGTAAACCAGGCTGGCCTTGAACTCAAAGATACCCACCTGCTTCTGCCTCCTGAGTGCTGGGGTTAAAGGTATATGCCATCACCCCTGGTTTGCACTGCTCTTTTTAAATTGCCATTTATTCATTTATTTATATGTGGTGGTGGGTTGGGAATGCATGTCACAGAGTGTGTGGTCAACAGTCAACTTAGAGGATTTAGTTCTTTCCTTCTGGGTGGTTCTTGGGAATTGAACTTAAGTCTGCATGCTTGGTACCAAGTACCTTCTATGGAGGCATCTCGTAGGCCCTGCCTTGACTCCCATGCTGAGCAAAGAGCCTAACTCCAAGACATAACACTCCAGACACCATTCATATCTAAACCAGGGCTGGGGTTTCTCAGAAATGCCCTGTCAGTCAGTGACCAGGGTCCGCTGACAAGACTGGGGTTTGGAGACAGTCTGCTCACAGAGCCTGGCGTGTTCTCCTCAGATAGTTCCTGGGCTCTGGCCCTCAGTGGTGTACACCCTTGGCCTCTGTTGTCCTGGGCCTAGCTGGGTGCCTTATCATCCACGCTGCTCCCTGTACAGTGGGAAGCCCCTGCCTCTGGACAATGAGCTGGAGGAAGGCCTTATTCCTTTTCCCCAGGAATGCGCTGCTAGGCTGGCCTGGCCCTGAAGGGCTCTTGGAAGCCTCACTAGAGACTAACGCTGCTGCTGGGACTCCATGCTCTGCAAGGTCAGACCGGGGCCCTGGGTACCCACCTCCCGTATGTCTTCGTTGCCCTCCTTGATGTTTTCAGTTGCCCCCACAACTAACTGGTGAATGCTGTCGATCTCAGTTTCCTGCAGAAGGAAAGTGACAGGTAAATGCAGCTACCTCCACCTCTAGGGAGATGCCCTGCTGCAAACAGTTGCTGCCATGGACCAAGGTAGAGGCTTTACCCACACCCCCAGGAATCCTCGCCTGAGAGGTGGGTATCACCTGATTTTAGGAATTGGAAACGTATAGCTCAGAGATGTTTACTAACTTATCCAAGGTCACACAGCAACTGAGTGGCAGGACTGGGCTGAGACTTGGCTTGAACTCCAGACCTGTCCTCTGTCCCTACATATCATTCTTCCCTGTCACTCACCAAATGACAAGGTATGAGTTGCTGACTCTGGACCGGCCACTACACACCAAGAACTCTGCCTCCAGTCATTTATTCTTCATAGGTCTAGACGTTGGCTTCAGAATGTTACAGGCTTTGAAACACACTAACTTCCAACGCATGTTAGGCTAGAACATAGCTCTAAAGGGGGTTAACAGTAAAATAGGAGCAAGATGCTTGTCTGTTCCAGCAGCTGCTCAGCTCACACGCAGAACTCCAGGCTCAGGAGACTGGATGATAATGGCCAGGTGGTACTGGTCTCCCTGCTGAGGGGCAGCGAGGTGTGTCCTATGTGGAGACCTGCCTGAATACTGAGTGCACAGTAGCCTGCAGCCACCGATGTCCAGAAGTGACATTATATGGCTAAAGGGCACATGGGTGGTGGCACCTTGGTGGAGGATGTCAGAGCAGAATGCCCTGACAGCATTCCTGAGGGATTTGACATGAACAGCCTCCCTGTCCCCCCCAAGCACAGTGCCTCCATCCAGGGGCATCTCACCTCCCTCGGTGGGCCTCTGAGGTGGTCACACAAACTGACAATCCCAGTGCTGAGACAGCTGGCCTTCAGCAGCAGGCTGAGCACTGGAACTTGGCAGACTGGTTCTCACTCCCTGTAACCGGCCCCCCAGAGCCTTTCATGCAGTGCTGTCCAATGCCCTGCGAGCTGCTGAAGTGAGCCTCTGCTCCGCCTGGTCACAGTCACACTGAAGGGCCTGCTGTGCAGGCAGGTCAGATCCTACTTGGGCTCTGAGAGTGAGTGGGGGGCATTAGCCCCACCTCATAGACAGAGAATGGGACTGAGGGCCAATGGCCACACCATATGGGATGCAGCCTGGGTGTTTCATCCGAGCTGAGCACATCCGGAAGCAAATTGGTATGCTGGGAGGCACCCCTTTGACTGCTTCCCACCATGCAGTGGATGTGGCTGTGCCTGCAGTGTTTGTATGAGGTCTCCAGGCTTCTCAGGCTCTGCATACATGCTTGGGCAGATCCTTTAATGTTTTTGTGAAAGGGCAACACTTAGGGCCTTGCTAGCTTAGCCCATCTCACTCACTCTGACTCAACTCTGTTGTGAGGTTTGGGCAGTTTTGTGAATGAGCCTAGAGTCCAGAGAAGCGTTTTCCCAAACTTTCTATAGTATATGGTGCTGAGTCCTAAGATCACTTGGGAGCGATTCTATTCCCTTCAAGATGCTGCCCCAAGGCAGTATGGACTGGCATTGGAGAGGCCATGTCTAACCCCTGAATGCTGGAGTTAAAAGCCACGGAAAAGCTGCTACCCATCATGCAGTGTGCAGGGCTAGCTATTCTGTACTCCCATGAACCCAACCGCAATCCTGTGAGCACATCCCATCCTACAGATGGAAAAGCTATGGTACGGGGGTGGGGGGGCACTATATGACTCTCAGTCCTAGTCCTGGACTGAACTAGGACTCCCACCACTGGGTGCTCTAGCTCATGAGTGGCATTCTGTTCCAGGATGAGTCCCCATAAAGGGCTGCTGGGGAGCAACAGGCGGCTTTGCCTAGAAACTCGGTGTGACTGGCTAACAGCACATGGCATCGCCCGATCTGCAGGGATCAGATGCTTTGGAAGTGTGGTGGCTCTGAGTTCTCAGTCTAGTCTTCTAAGATAAAACTTAAAACCACTGGGCCCATACGTCTTTTTACCTGTTGCAAAACCTTTTCGGTGAAGATCTCTTGGAGTCTGGAAATTTCAACGACTTTCCCTTCGATTTGCCTTCAAAAAAGAATCGACAAGGTACGTATTAACTGTTAGCTCCTGGTAACCTAAGAGGCACACCTTTCTAAGGAGCCATCCTGGATGAGGCAGTAGAGAATGGGCAGCCATGACAGATGGGGAGAGGCGCTGGGTGGGGGAAATCTGTAGCTTAGTTCCAGCACTGGATGGAAATGCCCTTCTCAGGAGGCAGGTGTGCAGTGGCCTCTGCATTCCAGGGGCTTTCTGGGATCTGAGGAGAGCAGGGTTAGTCCCTGGTGACAAAATGGAAGGTTGTGGTGAGTCCTATGCATAGCCCAATTACCTAGCATATGTTGGGGGTTCAAAAGACAAGGTCAGGGACATCTGGGAAAGCCCATCTTTAAAAAAGGTACATTTCTCTCAAGCCAGCTCCTTGTGGGAAGAGAAAGCCCCGGGGTTCAATTTGCAAACACCTCACCTGGGTTTGGCAACTAAGTGTTTGCCCAACTTGAAACTGGCTAGCAGCTCTTCTGGTCCTGGGCAGGACGGGGTACCCTGGGGGACAGCTGGGACTGTGGGTCTGAAAATGGAAGCTGACCTAGGCTGATGTTAATGCTGCTCCAGCACAAGGCAAAAGTTGATGGTGGGAGGAGAAAGGTGGTGGGTGGGGAATGGGGAGTCCAACACCAGAGGGACAGGAAGAAAAGACACTTGGGGGAGCTGGTGTCAGGCTTAGGGGAGGAGTATTGGTAGGGACAGGAGGGCTAGGCTGGGCAGAAGGAGGCCTTGGAGGTCCATCTCTGGAATAATGCCCCTGTGGCTGCTCAAGGGGAGTACGCTTGCCCTGAGCAAGTCCCCAGGCCAGGGGGCAGGTGCAGCATCAGGACTCCATGGGGCGGGGGGCACGCCCAGAGTAGAACAGGGCTGGGCAAAGATCCAGCCCTTGCTTTTACAGTGCTGCTAATATTTCCATGGAAGTGTGGTTTCTGAGCGCTCACCCTGGAGGCTACAGACAGTAAGGGTGAGCCTGGCCACCTGAGGCAGACCTCAGTGCAGCCAGAGTCCTTCACAAGGTCTCCGCTGCACCCTACGGCCATTCCAGCTAAGCAGCCTGCTGTAGCAGCTGTTCTTGTCCACAGGTCCCGAGTGCCCACCCAGCCCAGCCCTGCCCTGTCACATGGTGGGTGCCTGAGTGCCAAAGCAAACGAAGGACACCCCCGGGGTCTGGGGAGGCCGTCCTCAGGCCATCAGCCTCACACACACCTCACTTCATCAAACAAGCTGTTCATTTCACCAATGAGTCGCTGATTTTCTTGTTCAAACTGCAAAGAAACACACAGATTTAGAATATCACATGGAGCTCAGCAAGGGGCAAAAGGGACCTTCCACCCAGCCTCCACGGATTACTGCTGAGTCACGCTGGCCAGCACAGGGTATTCCAGAATACTGTCTGAAAAATGCCCTGCTCCAGGAGGAAAACGCTAGCCACCCCAAGATCAGCTGTGCTGGCTGGGGCCTGCTTCCTCCGTGTCTGACTACCCATGACCAGCTGTGAGTGGGTGAGGCCGGGGCTCGGCCACTTCCTGTAACCTCTCTGCTAGGTGCCCACTGTGACTGCCTGTCTCTAGTGGACCGTCAGGTGGAGAAAGACTTGGCGTAGGGAGGATTTGGGAAGGCTGTAGGGTAGGTTCTGGGCCTGTGACAGGGACAGACTGGGGACTTGGAAGCCTCCTGTGACAGCACTGAGGCGGGGTAAGGAGGGTTGCCCTAATGTGCTCTGGTCTCCTTTCGTAATAAACCCCAACTCTTTTCATACTGATTTGTCCGAAAATTCTTTGCTGGGTGTTATCGAGATCCATGGATCTGAGCAGAGGGCTCTGAAAGGAACTTCTCAGGCTACACAGCCAGCAGCGTTGAGCTGTGTGACCCACTGCCCATGACACGCTCCTTGCTGACTCTGCCTGGACCTGCAGAGGAGGTCTAAGGCACAGTGCCCACCTCTACGTTGGCATCCTCTGCAAGCTCCACAGTGCACGGGTGCCACGGCACGGCTCCCACCTCCCTTGGCACGGTCTAGCTTTCTTTGCCCAGCTGGGGACTCCAGATGATCCCAGAAAAGCAGCACAGCCAGTATGTTAAGTATGTTACAGGCCTAGGCTTGAAGCAGGCGGAAACACCTTCTCTGGCATGCCCCTGCTCTTGGCTTCATGGTGGCATTTCTCAACTTGCTCTGGGCCCTGCTTCCCTCCTGGGGTGGAGCTGTGGTGCCTGTACACCACGGGGCCAGTTCTTAGCCCTGCTGCTCATCAGAACACAAAGGTCTCACTCTACCCTAGACCCAGGGTGTCAGAAAATGGGGAGGGGCAGGATGGCATCAGAAGGGTGGAAGGGTGGGTCACTCCCAATACCAATTGGTAGCCAAGGACACAGCCCTCTTACAGCAGAGACCTCAGAAGAGAAAACACTTTTCCCCTCTGAGTCTGAAAGCTGGCTACTAACTGCCTGCTCAGCAGGGACTCAGGAGGAAAACATGTAATTACGGCTTGTAGGTGTGATGACAAGCACACACCCTCTCAGGGCCTAGGGTTGTTTTCCAGGGAGGCATCTTTTTTGAGTTTTTCTAATGATAAAATACAGCCTTGCCTCATGGGAATTTGTGGGTGGACCTGGCTAGTCAGTGGCTTCTAGATAGCTTGTCAGTTTCTTTGTGGTGCATCTTAACCTTGACCCCAGGTGTGGAGCCACAGCTGGAGTCCCAGCTCCTTCACCTTGGGAGCAGTATGTTCTCGGCTGCTGAGCAATCTAGTCTCTCTGTCCTTCAGCTTTTGTCACCAAAATGGGGATGATAAGACTTAGGCAGTGAGGTCTTTACAACAGCTCACGCTGTCTACATGTGTACTGTGCCATTATTTTGCTCTCTGGGAAACAGAGTCCAAGCAGGCAAAGTGAGTGTTGGGATGCTGCGAAGGCCCCTTCACCTCTCAGACCTCAGATTATACTGGGTAGCTGTGGCTCTTGGCACTGGGAAATTCACACAGGCTCTTCCCATGTTGGCTCTTGCCTGTGTGGCTGTGTCACTTCCTCCACAGGTAGGGGCTCGCCAGGCACAGTGTTAAACAAAAGTCTTGGTCTCTGTGGTCAACACCACAGCAGGGTTACATGCCCAGAGGATACAACCTGATTACAGTCTAAGAATACCCCCCAACATGTCCTGTGTTTGGATATGAATCATCTGAAAAGGCTCATGTGCTGAATAAAGGCCTGGTCCTGAGCTAGCACATCTTGGGAGATAACTAGATTATTAGGGCTCTGACCTAATCAGTGGATTACTTCAGAGACTGATTCCAAATTTGATGATGGAAACTGCTGAAAGTGGGCCTAGCTGAAGAAGGTGACCAGGGCAATGTCCTTCGGGGCTCCATCTTAGATGAGCAGCTGCCCCAGCATGCCCTTCTGCCATAATGCCACCTACCACAGGCCCAGAACAAACCCAGAAGGCTGACCACAGACTGTATCCCTGCCTGCGGTGGCTTAGTTCGTCACAGTGATGAGCTGACTGACATGGGAAGTAACTGGATGGGCTAGGTAGGTGAGGCGGGCAGGCAGGGCCCTGCAAGCCTGACAGTGGGCAGTCTGCTCCGTGTCCCCTGCCCTAGCCCACTAGAGGGTCCTGTCCTGATCCTCCTGACTCTACCTCACAAGTGCTGGGGTCACAGGTGTGTCCACCATGCCTGCTCTATGAGCATCTCCTTAAGACTCTAGGGCTTGGGATCTTGGCGACCCTGAGCAGGGGACTTCCACCGAGCATACAGTAGTATCTTCAGTACTCGCTCCTGTCTGAGGTTGTATAAATCAGCACACATGGATGTGCTTGGAGCAGCCATGATGTACATACAGCACCCCCTGATTATTTTACTCTATGTAGAGTCAGCGGGACTTTCCCACTGGGCTCCATAAAAGGGTTCCCAATTGGGCTTAAAGGATACAAACCCGTTTGGGTAGCATCTTATTACAGAACTCCTCCAACCTAACCTTTTTGCTATAGTTTGAAAAAGAAAAGCACCACCGCCAAGGCCTCTGAGTACAAAATGCGGCAGAAGCATTCCTCTGGCTGAGCCCAGAGGAGCCACGTGACTACCAAGATGGCAGCTGAGGGGCTTGTGGAAAGCTGCATGCCAGCTCCTCCAGGTGTGCCTTCTTGGTATGGAACCCTTTCACAGGGTTGACTCTGCGACCCTCACCTTGATCCTAGCTGTGCCCTGTGAACGTGACTTTCCCCAGGGTCTGTACTTCAGCTCCTGATCACATATTCAGTGTCTGCCAACAATAACATGTTCTTAATGCATGAACTGAGCTTGGCACAGCCTGAAAACCCTGCCAAACTGGCAGCTTCAGGGGACACTGGCTACAAACACCTGCCACACAGACTGGAGACAGAAGTCACACTCCTGTTTTTCAAAGTTACTTCAATAAGCATATCAGTACATAAAGGTGACTTTATAAAGTCATTTTCATAAAATGAATGTGGGCTCATACAGGGTGGGATTTTCTTGATAACATCAGAAAACAATTGGTTCCACTCAGCCTGACCATAAAACTTCTGCTAACTCAAAGGTACCCATCCACCTGTATCAAGAGCTGTACCTGGGGATTTATTGTGCAAATTAGATAATAGCCCACAGCCACTGTGCGATACGCAACAACTATTCCTTTGGGTGAAATAAGGAGTTAAATTGCTGATAGGGCTTAATTCATGATTTTACCCTGAGGAAAAACTTCCCAAATAGTAATTATGAATTATGAGCACAATTTGCTAAGCTACTTTTTATTTAATCAATAGTACAGTGTTCCTTTCTCTATGTTTTCAGGATGGAGCCTTTGGAATAAGATTTGCGCTAGTCAGACTATAAGATATGACACTCAGCTATTACTCCCAATTAAGAAAGTCATTAGCTGAACAGGTAGCAGCCTGTTACAGAAGTACGTGGCCGCCTTCTATCCCACCCAATGGCAGTTACACAATAAAAACTAAGAAGTACTGTAGACTGATTGCTTTGGCCATTGACACTGAGAGGCTGAGATTCTAGATTATTGAGAATGGCTTGGTTGGGACAGAAGAAGGGAATGGAAGTATGGGCAGTAACAGCCACAAGGAGAGGGCATGCCCTGCATGTCCCATTTTCAGTTGCGTGGCATGTGTAGGTCATGTGAGCTGTGTGCAGGGCGTCTCTGGTGGTGCTGAGCAGCTGTTCCTCCCGAGGCCATTGCATCTGACTCGCCATGGTTCTGCAGGGCATCCATTCTGAGCAGCCTGAAGTTCAGTGAGGCTGATTTGCTCCCCAAGTTACTCAGAGAGTAAGTGATATGGGTAAATTCACAGCTGACCCTGCTGGGTTCGCAAGTCTTCGTTCTTCATCAGAATACCAGCAATTCAACTGATTCTAAGCACAGTCTTGGCAATTATAAAAGACCCATTTAATCTAGATGGCTACTGCGTGGCTGGTGAAAAGGCTTCTATTATTAGCAAAACCATTCAAGGTAATTTCTTTGTTAATTATGCTACTGTAAATTTAAAACAGGAAAAGAAAATCAGGAACTAGGATATTAGATAGGCGAGTACATATAAAAATACGTGTTTATGGCTTTTAGAGCTGGGGCATTCAGCGTGACCTACTCAGTGGAGCAGTCCCGGGAAAACCGCTGCAAAGGAGTGATCAGCAGAGACCAGCATTACCATTTGGATTTCTTCTGGAGACAGCTCATCTTCACCCTTGCCATCTCCCCAGGTTCCCAGTTCAGTCTGTGCTTCGGACAAAGGCTTTTCTGTTAAAAAACAAAACAAAACATATGAACAGACAGAAGGCCAGACATTCATTTCAGAATAGGCAGCTAAGGAAACAGGATTATGAAGACATGTGATGGAGCAGGGTTACACAGTGTGGTCCATATTCAACAGTTGGCTCATGTGCATCTAGTGCCAACAGGGCCCTCCTACAGCAGCTCCATGGCCAGCCCACACAGAGTGAAGTCTTTGTGCTGGGCTGGGTATGGAACTGCTTTGGGAGAAGATATGAGCCTTTTAATGTAGAAAGCCTTTTTGGTAACAAGTTAAGTATATGATGGCTCCTGATGAAGCCCATCAACACACAGGCTCCTGGAAAGGACTGCTGCCACCCAGTGTATGGGCTGGGCAGTGGGAGGCAGGACATAGGAAAACACACATATCACAAAGCATCCTCAGTGACATGTTCTCACCTGCCCCACCCCACCTCTGCGAGCTCTGTCTCCAACTTAGCTACATTACAGTTCTTATTTCAGTGTTTTCCTTCTCTCTCTTTTGAGTAAAACCAAAATCAGAAACATAAACCCCTTTCATACTGGAACCAGGACAGGAAAGTTCTGTTAAGAGAACTCTGGACTGGAGAGATGGCTCAGCGTTCTTGAAGAAGACCCAGGTTTGAAACCCAGAACCCTCATGACAGCTAAAAATCATCTATAACTCCAGTTCCAGGGGATCAGACACCATCTTCTTTCCACAGGCATTGCATGACACAGGTGCACTTATATACAGGCAGGCATGATACCTGTACACATAAAATAAAAATACATTTTAAAAAAATAGAGAATTTGACTCTACATAGTTGGTTCACACATGAGCTGTCTGAAGCCTCCCTGAGCTTCAGGAATCAGCCAAGTGCAGCATGCGCTGCAGTGATGCGGTCAGGTCCAGATGCTTGGCCTGCAGTCTAGGCTTTGTCTGGCCGCAGCTAGCCTCTGCAACCGTATTCCCCACACCCCCTTCCTTCAGGGTACTTTACGGACCCTAAGGTCTTCTTTAGTGAAGACATGCCACGCTAGTCTCCAGGCTTTCTGGCCTCTGAGTGTTTGCTCATGCTGTTCCTTCTGGCTAGAACTTTCTAGCCCTGTCTGAACCTTGTCCCTGCTATACCTCTCTTAGGGCACTACTTACTTTTTCTAGGGGCTAGAATATCCTCCCTGGCAACAGTGAGCTTTCCAGGGGCAATAATTCACTTGGGAAACACATCTGAGCACTCAGGAACCAAGATGTGCAAACCAACTACCCATGGGAACACAGATACAGCCTTGCCAGGAAGAATGTTCAAAGAAAAGGCCCTAACATCAGACATGGGTGCACATGTGTGGGAGCACAGAGGTGACCCTGCTGACCAAATGAGCAGTACCAAACAGCATGCATTTTAAGCGAGGGAGTGTGGCAAGCAAGAAACCAGCCCTGCCTAGAACCACACCACATGGTTCTGCACCAAAACACTTGTCTACATGACATCCTGGGTTTGGACAGGGAAATGAAAACTCTGAACAGCAAAGGCTAGCAGAAGGATGCCGTCCTTACAGACTATATTGTAGATCCCTCACCTGCAGAAAACTCAGCAAATGCCCTCACGCAGAAAGAAAATGCCTCCACCCCCATGGAACAAAGGGAAAACATGCAGCCTGTGAGGGGAGGAGCTGGCCGCACGGGGCCCCTGGAATGGACAGGGGCCTCCAGTCAGAACAGGCGGTGCCATGGAAGCTGAGTGCTGGCCTCTCCCTGGCGGTCTGCCTTGTGTTCCCTTTCCCATGCCTTCTCCTACATAGACACACCCAGGCCATAGCTCCTAACTGCCTGTTTCTCAGGAACCCCCAGGCCCATGCTCTTCCTGCTTACTCCAACGTCACCATGTCTCCACCTGTACATCCAGTAGGCACCTCAGATGGAACACAGGAGATGCGGAACAAAGACAAATGATCAATGCTATGGAAAAAGAGCAGGAGACAGGAGCACAGGAGGGCTCAGCCTCCTGTCAACCCCTCGTTCCTGTGGAGCTTGGCCTTGTCAAAGGCCGATTGCAGCTTAGCCCCTGTCCTCTGCACTCGTAAGGCCACTTCCTTGTGCAATATGTCTGCCAAACACCTCATGGCCACATGCTCCGCACTGAGCTCCTGACCTGACCTCCGCCCCAGCCCTCTACAGCTCTTTCCCTCAGGTGCCCCAAACACAGCAGCCCCACCGTCCCTCCTTGGCCTCACTTCCAGGATTCAAACTCTGGCTTTACTCTAAAGGTGACCCAGCAATCTACCACCTCTTGACCCCCTTGCCTCGTTTCTAATAACCCCAGGGGTCTTCCTACTGTCTGTTTTGCTGCCCTAACAATCTATTTTAACAGCACAACTGGAGGGACCCTGCTTCACTGTAACAGGTGTGACAGCCCCCTGTGCCCAGCTCTGTGCCCCCTGCTCTCTACCCCAGCTGTCCAGCCTCTCCTTGGGGCCACTCCTGTCCTCCATCCTGCTGCCTTTCTGCCTGGAATTCTACCACCCAGGAATCACAAGTTCCCTCTGTTGCTTCCTTTATAAAGGCCTTTACTGCAAAACCAAGCTCTCCCAGCCTGCTCCCATCTCACCCCAACTCTACTCGCAGACACAGTGGGAGGGGCTCTGTATAATGACCTAATCTGTTTCCCCATAAGCCTGAAGAAGAGCCATTTCCACTCACCACGAAGTCCCTAACACTCAGCTTGATACCTGGCACAACATTCAGAGTGGGCTTGGGGCCAGCTGCAGACTAGCTAAAGATCTTCCTGTAAGATGAATGAACAAATGAACATGGATGCTGCATCTGGTTTAGTAAGTTTATTACGATGCCCTGCCTTGTCTTCTGAAAGGCAGTGGCCCTGGCAAAATGGGGAAGGTTTGAGCAGGCACACACAGGAGGCATGCAAAGTCTCTGCCCAGGGGATCACAGAAGCAATCAGCCAGAAAGAGGCTGAGGCTTTGCTTGTTTGTTTGTTTGTTTTTTTTTTTTTTTTTTTTTGGTCTTTTTGAGACATGGTCTCCCTATGGCCCCAGTTGTCCTGGAACTCACTATGTAGACCAGGCTGGCCTTGAACTCACAGAGATCCGCCTGCCTCTGCCTCCCAAGTGTTGGGACTACAGGTGTGCGGCACCACGCCCAGCGAGGCTGAGGCTTTGCAAACAGAGTGACCCACGTGCAAGGCTATAACTGCTCCTTTCTCAGTGCTGGACTTTGAGTAGTCATACAACCTCTTCAAACCCTGGCTTCCTCACCTATGAGCACTGACAACACACACACCTCTAAAGACCAGTGTGTATCAGGCCTGTGACTCAGTCAGCATGTGTAGACAGTGAAGGCTCTGCAAATGCTGTTCTAACTGCAGAAAGGGCCTCTGACACCCTCCAGGCTGACAGGCCATGATGAATACTTATGAAATAGGGAACTGGTGAGATGGAGGGAAAGCTTATGTAAGGCAGGCTTCACAGTCAAACCTACCCATCTTGGTCAAGTAACCCAGTCTCTGAGTCTTTGGAGGGGGTCCTCTCAATAAAAGAAGCTTATGAGACATATAAAACAGAGATAATAGAGATATCTCAATAAAAGAGAGCCCTCCCTCCAGTGACTGAGGGTTGTACGGGGCTACAGACATGGTAAAGAAGACACTCAGGCCTTCCCTGGCTTCAACACATTGCCAGGCAGTGAGGGACACCGTATAAAAGTTGTCCACTGCACTTCTGAATACAGCACACTGAGCAGGCACCCTATCCAGGGCATGGAGACTTGGGTGCAGTGTAATGAGCTGGCATCTCCACTCAGGGCACGTGGACTGGGATGCAGCATACTGAGCAGGCATTCCTACCCAGGGGCCCTCTGACTGCAATGCCATCCACTGAGCAGGCATCCCTACCCAGGGGCCCTCTGACTGCAATGCCATCCACTGAGCAGGCATCCCTACCCAGGGGCCCTCTGACTGCAATGCCATCCACTGAGCAGGCATCCCTACCCAGGGGCCCTCTGACTGCAATGCCATCCACTGAGCAGGCATCCCTACCCAGGGGCACACAAACTGGGATGCGCTGGTCCACAGAGCTGGCATCCCTACCCAAGGGCATGTGAGCTGCACACAGAATGAAGTGGTTCATGACATTATGTATGTTCCTAAGCTTTCAGACTTGAGGCAGATTCTTTGGTATGTACTGTGTTGGGAATACCAGTAACTCTGTGATGGCAGGAAACACAGGAACACACACTTGTGTCTTATCCCATTGGTCTGCCTGGCTGTGGGAGGCCCTGAGAAGGCGTGTTCCACCCTAGGCAGTGGCTGGCCATAGCTGGCCAGTGCAGAGTTCTACTGTGGAGTTACAGCCCTCTCCAGCCGACAGTGCCTCCTTAGTCTATAGCCCCAGGCTCTACCCAGCTGCAGCACAGACCAGCAGCCCCTTCTCTTGAACCCCACCAGCTTCCAGCTGATCACGTGACTCCTCCCACCTGACAGGACCACTGCTACTTGCAGGCTTCCTTGGCAGCCACCCCTCCAAGCCCGCCAGGCTGCGACTGCCTTTTTTCATGCCGTGCATTCTTGCAGACAGGTCAGAGGAAGAAATGCAATTTCAAGGTTATACCTGGAAATTCAGCAGCAGCAGGCTTTTCCTCAGGGTCCTGAGAGGTGTTAGGTGAGACTTTCTCAGAGGCGGATTCTTTTGTCTTTGTCTTTGGCTCTGGCTCCAGCTTGGATCTAAAAACAAGTATTTAGCAGTCATTTAATTCACCTCCAGAAAAGGATCCCTTTCTATGCACTTTTGCTCTGTGTCCCTCTACTGTGGCCCAAGAATCACATGGATGCCCCACACCTTAGTGCAAGCTTACTGTCAGACAGGGTGCTGTGTGCTAGACACAGGCTGGGCACCCCCTTCTGTATTCCCAGACACCCCAGACTCATCATGCACCAGGAACTCCCTGGAGGGAGAAAGGGTACCACACTCAACACGGGGCCAACTTCCTTCAGCAAGCCCAGGAAGTTAACATGTACTAATGTAGGAGTTTTATACTACTGTGGAGGTACTGTGGAATGCATGCACGCACACACGCATGCATATGCAGTCTCCTAAAAAAAATGATGAAAGTACAGCCTTTAAGAGCTAGTCCAGGACAGGCCTCCCTCACCTTCCCCACAGGCTCTGCCCATAAGCACTCCTTTCCCACCAATAGGGTTAGTGCCATGCCTGCTATTTAGAGGGCTTCTTGGGACTTTTTTCTTTCAAAATTTTCTTTTAAAAAACATTTCTTGTGTGTGTGTGTGTGTGTGTAGGTCAGAGGACAACTCTTAGGATAGGCCCTCATGTTTCTGTTTCTTCACTGTCTACTCCAGCCTAGCTGGCCTGTGAGCTGCTGGGGACTCCTTTGTCTCTGTGTCCCATTGGCCACAGAAGTGCTGAGGGCACAGGTGTCTGAGCACCTGGCTTGTTTTAACATGGGTTTTGAGAACTGAACTTAGGTCATTAGGCTTATGTGGCAATCACTTTTACCTGCTGAGTCATCTCTCTGCCGGCCTTGTGTGTGTGTGTGTGTGTGTGTGTGTACTTTGTATGTGTGTGTAGGTGTGCTCATCCATGCATGCATGTGTGGAGGTCAGAGGCTAATGCTGGGAGCCCTCCTCTAGCACGCCCCCAGCTTTATTTTTGAGATGGGGTCTCTCACTGGATCTGGAGCTTACTGCTCTAGCTGACCGAGGCAAGCCTGGCAAGCTCTAGGATCCGCCTGTGTCTGCCTCCCCAGTGCACCACCAGTGCCTGGCTTTTAATGGGGGTGCTGAGGACCCATACTTATGTCCTTATGTTTGCACAGCAAGCACTTTACCCATTGAGCTATCTCCCCAGGCCCTTTATCTAGCAAGTAGCCGCCTGTTCCTGTTAATCAAGATACCATTAAAATAATGAATAGACAAACCACAGAATGGGGAAGCAGTTATCAACAGCACAGACCTCACAAAGGATTTGAATGAGGAATACATAAAGAACTCTTACACAAATTAACAAAAAGACAAGTAATTCAATAAAAGAGCAGGAAAAAGGCTTGAACAGATTTGCAGAGAAGAACACACAAGAATGATCAACAAACACACACAGGACAGTGGGGAAGTACGAAACAAAGCCCCAAGGAGATAATACCGTATACCTGCCAGAAAGCTTTCAAAGCCACCTACACAAAGTCCAGGCAACACGCAGCTGGGTGGTGTGTGAAACAGAGTCACCACCTTGGAAAGCTTTGGGCAATCGTTAAATCTAAAGAAGGTCTCCGCTGTAACAGAGCAACCCCACTTTTAGGTGTTTACCAAAGAGAAAGAGAAAGGTACATCCATGTAAGAGTGTAAAAGAATGTCCACACAGCCTTATTCAGACAGTGGAGGCACAGGAACTACCCAAATGCTGACCGGAGGGAAGGTGAGGGTGCAGTGTGCTCACGCACGCCTTGTACTCAGCAACACAGAACAAATCACTAATAAACACAGCAGCATGGAGAAATCTTTTTAAAAAAGTGGTAAGAAAAAAAAAAAACAGCCAAGTGAAAACGTAGCTAAGGGTTGGGGATATAGCTCATGGTACACTTATCAGTTAGCATGCCTAAGGTCTCAAAAGAGAAAGTCTTTTAAAAACAGATAGGATTTATTCAATATTTGCCATTAAGTATGTTAGTTATAGAATGAAATAATTATTGTTTACTATTTCAAGTTAGTTTTGGAATTTAGTAACTGAGTAGTCTGACACATGAGCCAATTTTCAAGTTAGCCTGAAATACAACATAAATAAAAAGCCTACCAGAATTCTCAACTTTTTTTCTGACTAGCAAATGACAAATGGCTTAACGTTTCTTAGCCTGATTCTCATTCGTAGAATGGGGCCACAGGAGTATCTTTCTTGTAGTCACTGGTTGATCTTAGGATACGCACATGGTAAAAGCTGCAGCCTTCATCACTCGTGTGGATGGGGAGAGGCAGTGAGCACTGACAAAGGACGTCCTGAGGCGGAAGGCACCCGCAACACACAGACTGCACTAGGAGCTTTCTTCGTTGCCGTGTCAGAATTGTTAGGGTTCCAAACGGCAGCAGCTTCCCCCCTCCCCAACAGGGACCTACAGACTTTGGAGCCCAAAAAAGGGAACTGAGCTGATAAGCACCTTGATCTTTGAAATCAAGGGAAACAAACTCTGCTGAGAAGCAGCCTGCCTTTCCTCTGATCTCCAAAGATAAGATAAGCAGATTCTACCTGTTAACCAGAGATTTTAGAAGCTGTTTATCACAACAAGCTTTTCTCTTATCTTAAGAGAGAAAAAGCAAACACTTCCAAACCCTAATCCCAGGTTGGCAGACTGAATGGAGCCAGGCTTTTCCTGCTTCCCCCCCCCCGATTTCTCCCCCAAACATTCCCCCCTTCCACACCCTAAAGCTCACATATATAAAGTAGACCCTAATCCTACCTGCTTTTCCTGCTTCCCCCTCCCTGATTTCTCCCCCAAACATTCCCCCCTTCCACACCCTAAAGCCCCCATATATAAAGTCCCAGCTCACAACCTGTGAGCTGACATTTTTCCCTGCCCCGAGGGAAACGTGTCCCGTGCGAAATAAAGCTATATCCTGCTGAGAATTCCATCTGTGCCTCGGTGCCTCCTCGCTGCCTCCTCCATCCGCACGCTCTCTACCTATCAGATGGTGCCGAAACCGGCTCTTACTTCAAGGGACCTCGCACGTAAAACTTTCGGACTCGCTTGTTATTACTGGCCTCTGCGAACACCACTGATTCAGCATTAAGGTACACTTCCACCCTCTATCTCTCTCCCCTCTCCCGTTCCTTTCAGCTCTCTCTCCCTCTCTCTCTCCCCTTTCCCCTTCACTACTCTCTGCTAGTTCATTTTATTTCTAAAACAGTCATGTGTCACTTAATTATGGGGACAAATGCATCATGATGTTGTTATTTGTGAACATCTTAACAAGCACTTACACAGGCCAGAATGGTTATACTCCTACGGATATACTCCTATGGAGACACCATCATCATATGTGTGGCATGCTGATGACCAAAACACGACTGTGTGTGACTTATAAAGCTTTTCTTTCCTTCGTTCCTTCTTCCTTTCCTCCCTCCCTCCCTCCCTCCCTCTCTCCCTCCCTCCTCTCCTTTCCCTCCCTCCCCCCCTCTCTCTTTTCTCTCTCTCTCCCTCTCTCTCTCTCTCCTCTCCCTCCGTTTACTGGCTACTCTGAGCTTCATCTAGGCCTCTCCATTCTTCTCCATTCCCGGTCCCTCTCGGCCTTTGGCCCAACTACCTTGTTTTCTTATACTTTGGCTCCTACTGGCTGGTCGCCCACCACATTGCAGAACCTCTCCTAACTCATTTTTACTCACTCGAAATCACACCGGTGTGTGGGAGGTTCCACCCTGCCTTTGACTACAGGACGCTGTGGTCACTGGCGGGGGGGGACACACACAACTCGTATTCCCCCCCCCCAGTGATTGCAGGACGCTGCCCTGGGGTTCAAGAATTTCACTGTACTTTTATAGCTCCTCAAACTTCCTCAAATCATTCATCAACATCTCACCCTAGTAGTTATGCATTTGTTCTCTCTCTCTCCTCTCTTCTCTCTCTCTCTCTCTCTCTCTCTCTCTCTCTCTCTCTCTCTCTCTCTCTCTTCCCTGTAAGCTTACTCCTTCCCGCGCTGACTCCTGACTCCGCCTCTGTCCCCTCAGGGCAAAAAGATCCTCTTTCTTCCCCCACCCACCAACTGAGGTCTTTAACTCTTCTTTTGCTTTCCACCTAATCCGTTGCTATGGGAACCAAACACTCAAAACCTCAGTGTCTCACGCCTTTGGCCTGCCTTCTTAAATCCTTAAAAAAGCTAGGATTATCTCACACTATCAGATCAAAATGCGTAAAATTCTTG